CTTCCTCGACGTCCATCTGACAAGAAACGCCGACAACTCCCTGAAAAGGTCCATATACAAAAAGCCTACATGGAATGGACAATTCATCAACTTTCAAAGCTTCGTGCCCCTGAGCAGAAAGAGGAACCTGATATACGCTCTTTCCTCGAGGATTCGGAAGATATGCAGCGAGGAAGTGGTTGAAGAAGAACTGCGTAATCTTCGAAAAACCCTGATGGAAAACGGTTTCCCGCCCAGGTTCATAGAAAAGAATCTCAAACCTAAGAAGACTTCTGAACAAGTCCAATCCGTCCCAAAGAAAATGCTTCTGCTTAATCTAGAATTCAAAGGTGAGATTGAAGCAGAAATCCTTCGCAGACGCCTCTCAAAATCGCTGAGGAAAACATACTTCGCCGCTAGCCTACGACTGACGTTTTCCTGCAAGAAACTGTTCAGCCAGAACGCGAAAGACAAGCTGTCGCATTGGGCCACCTCAACGTGCATATACCAGTTTACTTGCTCTTGTGGAGCTGAGTACGTTGGCCGTACCATGCGCCGACTTGAAAAACGCGCTCGTGAACACTATCCAGCCTGGCTAGTAAAAGGAGAACGAAAACGGGTAAATAGTTCGGTGACAGAACACCTGGTGAATTCAGGACATTCAGCGCCACTCGAAAAATCCTTCAAAATCATTTACAAGATTCGATCAAACCCATCAAAGGGAGTTAAATCAAGACATCTGGGCATAGCCGAGGCGCTAGCTATACAAAAGCTCAAACCCACGCTTTGTATACAAAAGAAATACGTCCAACCCCTGTCCTTGCCATGGCCATCATAAACAAGTAATTTTTAGTAATCACCATCCCATCGCCTTTCTTATCTAAACTTCCTGTTTATTCATGTTATTTCAAGTTTTTCTTAATCCCTGTTTACACTACCATATTTTCTTACCCGAACTTAGTGTTTATTTTGTCATTTTACTATTTCTACACATTTAATCCCTGATTGCATAAACAATTATTCATCACATTAGTTTTTATCCAAACATCCTGTCTATTTTGTTATTTCTACATTTCTAACCCCTAATTGCACAATGTCAGTCTTCTTAGTTATTTTAATGCTATTTTGTTTGTTTTATCCATCCCCCTGTTTATTATGGCATTCTAATTCCCAATTTTAATTTTTATTAATTTGACCCTTGACCGGATATTATTCTGGAACTTTCCCATCCATTTGATATAAATACACGAATGTACAGCCTAGATGATGACTTCGTCGAAAAGAAAATTTTCTTCGCTGCAACTGTCTTCTTATTTACTCCTATGAGCCAATGTGTATATTCCGTGAAAATACAGATAAAAATACTGTAGCAAGCTGAAGGTTCAGAACTAATGCAAATTAACAACCAGTCACAATATACATTGTCAGAAGATACAGTTATATCATTCACACAGAAATCAAATAATTTCACTTCATACTGAAGTTTGTGCTGAATATCTTATCTAGAAAGACACTGAAAGATTCGCAATTTTAATTCATCTACGGTTTCGGTCAATTAGTCTCTTTAGATGACAAAGCGTGATAAGTAATAGTGATCTCAGCCACGTAGGATATTCACTGAATGGATGGGAATAGTAGTAATGGTAATAGCTTTATTCTGAACAACGTTTACATAATGTACAGAATTTTCGGCAGAGTTTATTGCATGATATTTTCCCTTAGTCCACAATCTTCAAATAAAAGATTAATTGACAGTAGATTGTGTGACACAGTTCTATCTGACCTGAAGAGCAAACAGATTCATTAAGACATCTCTTCTTTTTCTCCTTCCAGAAATACGCGACATTTTGTTGAATGACAGCTACAAAAAGTTCAGGAGTACATCCTATGAATCAGGGACACAACTCAGAAATGGTCATCTCATATGTTGGGATAAGATTTCGTCGAGTATTATGCTTTTTCTCATGCTTAGTAGTAAATTTCAAATCAGTAGCAGCTTGTGAATATTTTAAATGTTCACCAGAGTAGAAAACACTATCATAGGTCATATTTTGCCAGATTTAAAAAGACTGAATAAGAGAAACTATATGCAATATACTGATGGTGGCTTTCGGTAGTCCGAATTCGAAGCAGACCGCCTAAACAACTTGACGGAACCATGAGTTATGGAATGTTAATCATGGCTAGTCCACATGACATTTACTGATAACTGCGTCCATATTTTGACAGTGGTGCTGGCTGTTATCAAACCGTAAACTCGAATAAGATTGATGTTCATCCTAAAACTAACTGGTTTTGACTAAAAATAACATCTGCCATTCATCTGTTTTTAATAAATAGAATAATAGCAGGTGCATCTATGATTAGGTGGCTTTTGCATTTGTAGAAACTGTGTGTAATACAAAAACATCAGAATAATTGAAAGTATTGGACATTCACATCTTTCTTGTTAAGGTTTGTTCCTCTGTAAACCTCCACTATCCCGCAAGAAATGAGAGAAAACCAATTCGTGTTTCTGAATTCATTGGCTTACACAAAGCCAAGGTTCTTGATGTGATTTTCTTGTGATTCATTTTACATTCATCTAGTTTTAAATGGATTTTCAACACTTTCATTTATGAAGGGATCCTGAAGTTTATGTTGTCACATATGAAGGAGGAATTTTTCGACTGCCAATGAACATCATATTTTTCAGTGTGTGTGGACTTATGTATTTCATTTACTATTATCTACAAGCGATGTGTTTTCTAATCATGGTTGTAAAAAGAATTTGTTCCTAAAGGTTTCTGCAGGATAAACAGTCAGCGAAATCATTTACACTGTAAAATGTCAGGTCGTTAAATCTACTGAATAGCATATTTCTTAATATACACCACGCATATAGTAGAGGGTGCGTCGGTGGTATAGCGGATAGGACGCTCGCCGACCTTGCGCATGGTCTGTGGTTCGATCCCCGGCCGACCCACTCCTTTACCTCGCTGAGCCAGAAATAATGCTGGTAAAGAGGAAAGTTTGGGCATGAGGCTAGCAACCCCATCCTGTAAAATAAACACTGCTAAGCCACTAGCTTGTAGCCCTATGTTCCACGTGAAGGAAACAAAATACAGTAGAAGACGAATTTACAACCAATCACTTCTTTGCAGAGTAGGGAATAACCCTACTGAGCATTGTGATGTATCTATATGCAAGTACACCATCTACGTAACAATAAAATGATAGTAACATAAACTCACTCAGTTCATTTTCATTAGCCTATTGTAATGCATGTGGTATCTGCGAAGAACACGCTTTTTTGATGAATTTGTAGTCATTTATATCATGCTTCAATAACCCTAAAGCCGGCTACTTGCAGTAGCTGCCTGACATCGCGGGATATCATAATTTCTCGAAAACTCTGTTATGAATGAATCCACTCAACGATAATCATCAATGGTAGAGTGACAGGTAACTTTCTCAAGAGACTTCATTACTCACACAATATGTATAAAAAATAGGGAACTGAATTATACCGAAATATTAATCTATAGCTCTATCATAAAGTTATTGTGAAATGAAACCAATAAATGGTACTTGGAATTCCTTTTATGGTAATAACGTATAGTCTTACGCAATAATTAACGTGCTGTAACTACATAGAGAAAAAAGTTGCCACATTATTTCTCTTTCACCCTCTTTAACAGGAACCAAAACTGACGAGTTGCGACTTGCTTTGTGTTATTCATATAGGGTTTCATTGCCTGTTAATTAGCAGAAACTTGTCAGTTAGTGAATATATATGAAATTTTATCAATATTGTATTTAGTCAAACAGTTTACTTCATACAGCAACACTTTCAAACATGTTAAAGTTGTTCTGTACATAAATTTATAGTTCCTTCAGACTACACGTAACTGATAAGAAGATGAAGGAATAAATGGTACCATTTTATTCTCCACAAACTGTTGTTCTCGCTTTATTCAAACAGTTAAATTTTAAATGTGCTAAACCGTCATAGTAGACACAAAGTATTACATTTTTAAAAGACTTCATCATGAGTTGACATCAGCTAGAGAACCCTAGGAAGACAGGAGACTACTGGACAACTGTTTTGTCCCAGTTTGGGATTCTTCATCAGCAAGCACCCACCGGGATTTGAACCCAGGGGCTTCCGGTTACAAGGCGAGCTCGTAGACTATTGAGCCACTGGAACCTGACCCAGCTACCCATGAATTCCAACTTTTGCCTGTCCACAATGCAGCACGACCACTAGCTAATGTCATCGCTGACGAGTATCTGTCCTTACACCCCACCAGCTGTACTTCACTGGCCACGATTTCCCACCAGAACCCAGGCAACTACCCAAGTGAATACCTCCAGTGGCAAGTGAGCAATAGATTACTTTTTTGATTGCATTCCTCATGTATAAACTTTGACTAACACAATGGATACATTGAAATTTTATGTAGTGATTTTCACAGTATTCCAGGATTGCATTAAATTCTGTTGGAACATCCTTTTTTTCCTTCACGTTGCCAGTGGAACATAGGGCTTCAAGCTAGTGGCCTGAAGTTTCTGTAGCAGTGTTTATTTTACAGGACGGGGTTGCTAGCCTCATGTTCAATCTTTCCTCTTACCAGTCTCACTACTGGCTTAGCGAGGTAAATAAGTGCGTCGGCCGGGGATCGAACCCCGGACCACGTGCATGGTCAGCGAGCGTCCTAACCGCTGTGCCACCGACGCACACGTTGGACCATCTTAGTAGAAATCAATGCAAATTTTTATTCAGGTTATTCTCAAAACCTATGGCCCAGTTATTGACAAACATTATCATGTATCCAGTTGTCATAGAACAAATAATGTAACTAAAATAAGGCATATTTTTGCTTCGACAGCAATTATCCATAATTTTGAAACAGATGTAAAATGCTGAAGGGTCGTGTATGAAGAGTCCTACTAGAAGAAATAAGAAGTACACATATATTCACCCACATATGTAGCTGAATATCTAAATGTGACGTCTTGTAATATACTTTCTTTTACAGATCAACAATCATGGTCTCTTGAAAACAAACCGTCTAGTCGACAGAGAGTCTCAATCAGTTTATCGATTCACAGTTCTGGTTACAGACGGTGGCGTTCATCCACAGAATAAATACACATTACTTGAAGATTATAAGTTTGACATTTATGAAGAAAAAGTTCACAGTAATATAAACAATGGTTCTAAATCTCATATGATAAATGAAGTTCATACATCTGCAGTTTCTGTATGCATTCATATAACAGATCTTAACGATAATGCACCGGTATTTGTTTATCCCAATACAAGTATATTCAAAGTGAGTTGTGTTTTGTAAACATTTTCAAAATAATAATATTAGCAAGCTTAATTGTAAAGCAATAAAATTCACTAAGAATTAGAGAAATAATATAATTATGTCACCTATATGTGCTTTCAACGATGGATAGAAGGATTAAAAGCGTAAAAGAACCCATACCTTCTACTCACTGATATTCTAGACATGAATCCTTTTTTTGAAATGCAGATTCTTACAAATATATCTGTGATTGGTTACAGGATTTCATCATGAGCTGACATCGGCTAGACAACCACTGGAAACTCTCGGAGTACAGCTGTTTCGTCCTAGTTTCAGACTCTTCATCAGCGCACACCCACCGCCACGGTTCGAACCCAGGACCTTCTGGTTACAAGGAGAGCTCGTTTACCATTAGGTCACTGGGACCCTATCCAATGGTCCATGAATTCTAACTTCTGCCAATTCACGATATAGCGCAACCGCTAACCAATGTCTTCGGCGAGTATTTGTCCTCACACCCGACCTGCTGCACCCTACTGGTCACGACTTCCCACTGGAACCCCAGGTAACTACCTACCTGAATAGGGCCAGTAGCACCCTGGTGGGTGCGTACTGTGAAGAGTCCCAAACAAGGACGAAACAGCTGTCTAGTACACTCAGGTTTTCCAATGGATCTCTAACCAATGTCAGCTCATGATGAAATCCTGTAACCAATCAACCGAATCCCTACAAACCAATACTTGAATTTCTGTGATTCTTTTAAGTTTTCATCACGTAAAAATAAAGATGAAACAAACTACAGATCTTATAATACGGGGCATCAAAACACAATTGATAAGCTTAAAGTCCCCTTTTTTTTCTTTTAATCGTTTTGGTCCACAAAGTTATGTTATAGAATGAGGTGATGTTTAATCATTTTATGCTTTTACAAAATTTAGAATAGTTTTGATTAACAAGACATGTTAGTCTTTTGATGATTTTTGTTTAATGTTGAGAATTCAAAACCATCAATAATATTTTAGTTTTAAATAAAGCAGTTATTGTCAGTGTTTTTATAAAATCATGTGTGAAAGTAAGTAGTATGATACTTCTGTTTGCCAAATAAGAGAATACACAGGTATTCTTGAGTCAGGAGTTACTTATATTTTGCTGCAGTATGTTGTTTATCTTTGTCGTATTCGATATTTGTGCAACGCTTGTATGTTGAAATTTGGGTGGCATTGACATGTTCACACCAAAACAAACCAAGGTTAGGTTATTTGGCTGTTTGGCTAAAATAATAACCTAAGATGTCACTGAAAACTTGTAGAACATTTTCTTCTAGATGAACATAAAATATTTGTTTAGTCAATAGACATTTGTACAATTCTTTATTTTTGGATTACCCAGCTAATTACCATACATAAAACAATTTCTGTTCATAAGTAAAAGCAGATACTAGTATACTGAAATGTCAAAGTACCGCTTCCGAATCACTGAAGAGTTAAATATTCATGACTACAATTCTTTGATTTTTGTGTAGCTGTTTTGCGTATGATTATGATTATCGATAAGATAACAACTATATCTTCTGGTAAAAATGTTTGGGGTTACTGAAAGGAAAATTAGACTGGTATTGACTAATACGAGCAATTCACTTCTCTGCTCTATTCAGATATTAAACAACTGTCTGGTATTCAAAGGAGCTTTTTAAAAAGTCTTTTCTACGGTGAGCAGCGTTTCATCAATAGAAACGAATTGATTAATTTTGTCACTCGAACAGAAGTAAGGTTTCAGGGAAAGTAAATCTAATAGTCACTACCATTAGCTGCTCAAAGTCTAATTATTTCTTCAAGCATTGGATTTACTTATTATGGCTTATAGCTTCAACTGTGAGCTTCTTTTTTCTACAAAACTGGGAGTTTGAATATCAGTGTGAATTGTCTTAATTTACTTTCCAATTATTTTGATAGCCTATGCAAAACCATTTCAAAATCGATGTAACAGGATTTCTTACTGAAGAAATAAAATGAACTATGAAACAATAAGGAAAAATTCTTTCTTATAAAATCTATTTTTCCTTTAGTTTTACATCTCGTAAAAGACATTGTAATATTCTTGAATTCTCATTAAAAAATTTTGTTACATTGGGAAATCACTATTTCATGCCATTCAGCCTACCTTTACTGAGCTGTCACCAGTTACCACTGTGTTTCAGTTTATCCTAACAATTGACAGGTTGGCTCGTAAAAATGTATGAAAAAAAGTAGAAAATGGTTTATTGTATCACTTTTCTGCTTTACGCTACTATTATATGAATTCAGATCGTGTCTTTCCACTGGAAGTTGTTAAACTCTGTAAATGATATAATTAAGAGGAAAAACTGGTATTATTTGTAAAACTCGATAGAACGAAAATAGCAAAAACTTGAAGTAGTAAATATAATGAGAGGAAATGTAGGAACAATTTTTTTTTTGAAATAAACGAGGTGAAAGAATGATTATAAAAACTGCCTATTCACGAAGTGACTCTCTCAATGTATTTTATTGGTTACACAATTTTTGTATTGATTTTCAACGTGGAAAAAAGATTTTCCTCAAAAATCTGTTTCTACTAGTGTACGCTTACAAACTCAGTTGTTGGCAAGTGGTGGATAACATAAGTGGTGGTGGAAATGTCACTTAATAAAGAATGTATAACACTCTCATGCAGAGATACATAACTCAGTGTTAATATTTTAGATGTGAGTTGTCAGAAATGAATTAGCCAGAGACCCTATTGAGCATAAACTAAGGGATCGTTACTTGTCAGAAAAGTAAATCATCCACATTTCACCTACCTTTATTCAGTTGGGGATCCTTGTAGTCTAATCAGTAAGCTATTCACATCACTGCAGTCGTCATGAAAAACTAGAACAATAGGTGCATCGGTCAGTTTCCTGTAGTAAAGACATGTGCATACAGGCATGAAGTTTGCTTACTTATGTTATTATAAGAGCTTTAAGCTGGAAAGGTGAACTCATAGTGAGTAGTCCAGTGAACCGTCTCCAGGAAAATCTTTTGATAACATGATTACAAGAATTAGTTGAGTAAAGATTTCTTTTACTGTTAGTTTATCGAATATTACTACTTGAAAACGAAGTATTAGGATGTCTACTTCATGATGGGTGCTCACCCATTCAACTCACAGTCACTACTATTCCAATGGCATAGATAGGCATATAAAGAGAAAATAGAATATTTAGAAGTTTACTTATTTTGAATGCTACCATATGTCGTTTTTTATGGAGTACACTTAATGCGACCACATAGAATAAAAAGACGATATTCAGAAAAGTGATATTTGCTCTTGTATTTCTAACTGTTTATGTCAGTCGTTAATAACATTTATATTATTCTTCATAGCTAAACGTTTTCCCCTAGGAAATAAAAAATCCATTGTGCTAAACAATTCATTCTTGACAAATAAACTTTATAAAGAATAATTTCTTTAGTACCATGTTAGCAAGTGGGCACTAGGAAATAGTAAGGGATTTCTTAAGAGTAATCCAGTGTGCATAATATAACTTCACATAAACGTAAACTCATTCAAGTCATTGTTCATCAGTTCAGAGAGTCTCTTCAGAAATGAGAAAAATCTAACTAGCATAACAATATTGTGTACAACTGAATTTATCTATGTATTTGTGTGTACACCGTTTCCGTCAAATACCTTATGGTGTGGTCTAAAATAATCCAAGCAGATTATTTACCAAAATAATATTTTAATCATTTTGTTATGCTGTCTTCAACTCGTTAAACAATAGAGACAACATATGAATATACTCAGCAGTGTTTAGCACTGTTTGTTGTATGGATTCTTCAACCATATACTCCGTAGGTCTGAAACCACTCGAAACGATTAATCAGTAAATAGATTAATAAGTACATTCACTGTTCATCATTCCATATATGTCCAGTATGCTGATCAAATCTCTATTGTTAATTTTTCAGTGAATATCGAGAACCTACATTCTTTTTCTAAATCGTCTGTCCATCAAAATAAAGTTAACATAAAACAGGTTGTAGCTTTAAACTACATGCCTGAATAGACAGCTAATTGAACGGACAAAAGTTTGAATTTAGTTCTGTTTATCCGTGTTATTGTTCAACATGATAACATTTTAATTCAGGGGTTTCCGGAACTATACCTTCGGATATGCGTACTCATTGCCGTGTACCGCAAGCATCCACTGAACTTCTTTCAATACTTCAGTTATCATTTTCTCTTACATTTGGTTGTTAACAATCTACAACTTCTAGATATGCTCCAGTTTTTGGACTAAGTATTTGTTATGCGATACGAAATGAAAAGGGATGCATGTAATTGAGCACTTCACGAGTCATTTACAGATGCCACACACGTTTGTTTTCTATTTCTCTGAATTTTAATTAATAAAGCCTTTTACTTTTGCAAGGTTCGACTGTCCATTCATGAGAAAAAAGGATACATAATAACGCGATTGGTAGCTGTTGATAAAGATTCTGGTCCAAATGGTGAAATACACTATAGCCTACTAAAGGCTGATCCTAAACATATATTTGGATTACGTCATGATACGGGAGAAATTATCGTCACAAAAAACATTGAAAAAATTGAGGTAAGCAGATCATGTTTGAACACTCTCATATGTGGTCACAGTAATCCTTAGGATGAAATATACAGAATTATTATTGTTGTAGGAAGATCAATATGCATGCTTTCTTTTTTATTTAATATTATTGTGTTTAGATGACTAGTTTGTTGTTTTAAGAAAATAAGTTACACTGACTTTTTTGTGTTAGGAGAATCTATAAGAGCATTTAATTTTTCTCAAGATCACAAATAGGTCGACCAATATAGGTACTGCCAAGCACTAAACTAAAACACACACATAATCGACTGCTAATTAACTTCAATCAATATGTAGCATCAAATAATACTAGACCATATTACGCAGTAATGTCGTATCATTTAGTTTACTCACCGAACTGTACACATGGTTGGTACTTTCTAAATATCACCTTGACACCAAAAGTATTACCAGCAGGCTGCTGCAAACTTTCATCAACAGTTACCTTCACTGGCTCGGTGCTGTAGACCTGATGGTTAGGAATAATAAACGACAAGAAACAGAACCAACTAAAATCCTATTGCCCAACAGACATGCAGAAGAAAATGGGGATATACTGGACAAAGGTTGGAGAGAAATTTAAATGACATCACATGCCATACACCAGACTAAGATCCGGATGAACAAAGACGGGTTTGACTTCATGAGGGCTAAGAAGGAAGTCATGTATGGTTGGTGGGCAGTAATCACTGTTTTCACAGACGGAATTCGTGAATGACTCAGGTGGGATAAAGTTGCCTAAGGTAAAAATGTTCCATGAACTTTATCAGCAAAATTATAAACAGTCACCTAAATAATCCTTCTATTTTCTTATTCAGGGGACAACTGTTCTATCAATACAAGCATCAGATCATGGTAATCCTCCAAAATCGAGTAAAATAGATGTGGAAATTACTGTAGGTGATATTCCACCAACTGGAAGAAGTCTTGGAACTCTCGATGAATACCAGTTAGCTAATCTGAAGTCACTTGGACTTATCGGTATCACAGAACTTGACAACTCTGGTACAGTTGAAATGAACAAATTAATTATGATGTGTATTGTTGTGTCAACAACTGTACTGTGTATTATTTTAATATTTTCTATTGGAATATTTGCTAAACGTACAAGTTGTAGAAAACTATTCACTTCACAAACACATGTGGGATGTACAAAAAAGAGAATTGGAAATGAGAAGAATAAACTTCATGATGATATTTGCATAGATCTACCTGACAGTGTTAACCAAACGAATGAACTGGAAGAAAAACTTAAGGACTTCAAAGGTAGGTCAAATTTTCTTAAATCAGGAATCTAAAGAAAATTTACTATTATTTGGTACCCAACGGCACAAAGATAGAAATCTGATAAGGTTAAAATTACTCTTGAGTCAGAATAAAGGTATTTGAGTGTCAATTTAACAAGTGTGAAGAGGGTGTGAAAATATACAAAAGGAGCATATGAGATTGATAATAGTGAATTAATTATTAAAGCAAACTAAAAGTAAAATTAAAAACAAAAAGAAAAAGTCAAAATTTTTTACAGGGAACGATTAGTGAAAAGGTTAAGACCAAGGTAGAATGAGAGACCGGACAAACGTCTTCTGTACACAGAGTTCAGGGTTGTATCGATGAATTGCAAGCGCCTCCGCTATACATAAAAGCCGAAACCTGACGCTCTTTGTACCATTTGGCTTCACTTTGTAGATGATCTTGAAAGACGACTCTCGTGGAACTACGTGGCCTGAGTTCACCAAATGCTCGAGAATTGAGCTAGTAATTGTCTTACATTGTCCCTTTGCTAAGCATACAAGATAATGTTCAGAGATGCGTTTGGAAAGTGTGCGCTTTGTTCGGCCAATATAAATAGCTCAACACGAGCAGGTGAATTTGTAAACACACATTGAGGTGGCCCAAATCGGCAGTTTATCCTTCACACATCCGTTGATCATTTGTCGACTGCAGAAATGGATACGTAGCTCAACCATGAAGAAGGCTTTCCTCAGTGATCTGCATAAGCGATTCTTCAGGATCTCAGCTGCGGTACCACCTTTAAAATCAACATTCATAAATAGAAGTTTCTTCGGCATCGTCTGGATTCTTTCAGGCTTTTCCCTTAACTTCATGTTTTTTCTCGATAAATCTTGATGGATATCCATTCTCTGTGAGGACTTGTCTGATTCACCCCAGTTCCCTATCGACTGTATCACTTGAACATATCCTCCTTATTCTTGAGGATAAGGAATGGATCAGATTTCTCTTTCTTCTCAAAGGGACCCAGCTATGGAAATTTGTCTAGTGACCATTCCATGTTGGTTTCCTGTAGATCGGTCTTTGAAGAGAACCATTTACTATTAATTTTACCTTATATAAATGTTTTCCTTTATGACAGAAATAACTATTTCTGTAAAACAGCTTTTTTTCTCTCGAAATACTATGTGGGGTCACCACAAATAGGCGTTCCTTGAGCAACTTTGTTGTAAGTTTGGAAAATACCAGTTTTACTTTACGACTAAGACAATATACGCAGATATTATCCTGTTAGTATCTGTAATAATAATAATAGAGCCTTATTTCAGACAATATGTAAACATTTATTGCGGAAATTTTCTGCGTTTTTAGTTCCAAAATATTTCCTCTTCATATAGAATCTACATTTAAAGCAATAATCTGAAGTGTATCGTTTGTCGTAGTTTTGATGTATATAAGGAGAGGACCAATCCTGCACATTTTTTCTTCAATTTCTTCAAAAACTGCATAGCGTATAGTGGTAAAATAATTAAATATGCGCTCGAGTTCATTTATTGGTTACTTGATATAACTGCACGAATTAAACAATAAAAAGCACAGAAGAGTTTAAGCATTTTGATAGATGGAAATCCTGGTAGCCCAGTAATTTAGACAGTCAGCTGCGAACACAGTGAAGCGAATATATTTGAACTTTCAAGCCATTGTTATGGATAGGATAGCTTATAAAACTTGCGCAATACCACATCGCTTGTCACAAATAAATTTATTTTCACGCTGTCTACTTATCATCTCTTACAAAACATTCAGTAACTTACTAAAAGCTTTGAAATTTTCATAGTAGGATGGCCTGTCACGCTCAAATACGTAACAAATAGTGTCTGAGAAAGAGATTTTCAGCCTTATTTGCCTTTTGAATACATCTCAGAGTAGTAAGAAGATTCAATTAAAGTCACACAAGTACTCCAGCTTTTCCAACAAACAAACTTTTGTGTTAAGAATTACTATTTTATTTGGACGTTTTAGAAAATTTATGACTGTTGTTATAGAAGAGTAGACAAAACACTAATTTTCACTTGTAAGAGTCTCGTTTAAATTTAATTTACTGGCTTTGACAAACTCCCATTTATTTTAATTTAACAAAAGACAACGATAAGCATTCTTAGACACTATGAACAAGCACCAACTTCCCCTGAGTAGCATTAGAAGTGACAGTCAATGGTTCCTCAATAGTTATGAACGTATTCATCCGCCTACCGAACTTATGTCTAACTATAGAAACTGATCAACTAGAGGCATAACTATTGTTAATATTCGAATGATAAGAAAAATTGCAACACAACAATAAAAATGTCGTACGCAATTTGATTGAATTGCTAACAATGGTAAATTAAGATTATCATGGTCTAGAAAATAGTCTTTGTATTTTAAAGTAAAAGAAGAGAAATATCTTATGCTGAATGTCTTATTTACTAAATCTAGAGTTGATTTATACTGCAAGTCATTATCAGAAGTCGTAGACTACTCAGCTGGACTTGTGAACTGAGTATCAATGATATACACAATCAGGTGAAACTGTACTCATGTCATTTTAATTGGTGGATGGTGACTAGCAGTGGAATCCAGGATGCGGATTTCATCTTATTTGGGACTCTTCATCTGGATGTAGCTGCATTTCCCGTGGCCCAAGTGGTCTAGTGGATAACGCTTTGGCGTTTGAGGCTATGGTCGGTGGCACAGTGGTTAGGACTCTCGCCGACCATGCACATGGTCCCGGGTTCGAGCCCTCGCCGACGCACACCTGATATCTATGGTCGGCCTGCGAATTTTGGGCTACCGATATCCACGCTGAAAATGCCATACTTGTACCAAAAATACGGTGTGGAATCAAGCTGTAATCAAAAATAAAAATAAATAAAATATGGGCACTGGGTTTGAGCCTCAGTGGGAACATCATCACTCATTGGGAAATGCAGGTACACCCAGGTGGAGAGTCCTAGATGGGACGAAATGCACATCCTGGATTCCCCTGCTAGTCACCATCCATCAATCAAATTATAATTAAATGCCCAGACATCTTCAAAGCATCTGCACAAGAAGCCGACATGTCAACCTGAGACCGAGCATTTAGGTCCAATCAGTCGGCGGGAAAATCCAAAATTCAATTAAAATGCCGAAAATCATCATCCATTTGGTCAAATAAAAGTGATGTTTACAATTCAGACCTCAGAATACAGACCAATAGGACCCAAATGCTTGACTTGTACAAAACGACCAGCAATGAAACGGATAACCAGTCTTCAAAGTAATGCCCCTCAAATTTCCCGTATCCTATCTAATGATTTGATTGCCTGCACTCAAATGGAATGTACTTATGCGAATTAGATTTATAACATATCTGCAAAATGAAATCTATAAATCTATAATGATATATTTACCAAGCTAAACCGTTTCCTCTTTCTTTCATAAAATATTCATCTAAAACATTAGCTATGACAACAAACATCAGGTTTTAATAACCCGATTTTTCAGGAATGGAGTTTTGTGAAATACTTATAAATTAACATTCTGAGTATTTGAATCTTAAACATGGTTTTCCATCCTAAATTGAACTGTATAAAGACACTCATCTGATAGTAATCTGCCTAGGTGTATACACAGTGTGCAATTTGTTCAACAAACGTTCAATAAAGAATCACCAGCATTATAATATTCGGCAGGATACTGAGACAACATCTAGTGATTATCTTTTATTTGTTTTTTTATTTTTGTAGAACCGAATTCAGTTGAAATGTGTGATGTATTATCTCATGTACAGTATAATCACTATCCAGAGATAGACAGAAAAAGTTTTTTGGTACCCGGAGCGCATAATACGCTTACAGATGATACAGGATTGAAACACTTACTTCAATCAATAAACCATACTACTATGAATAATGCTGACAGAGTTGTTAACGATGGCAATATAGATACAGCTACCTTAACAAATCCACACTGTGATAATCCTGTTTCATCTAATATACCTGTTAGTCTCCCCTCACATACAAGTGATAGTCTTAACAATAATGCTACGCTGTTCATGAGTCATTTGGAATGCAATCATCTAGTTACACCAAATGTAAGTGCAAAAACGTCTCTTTTTTGTAGGTTAATATAAAATTTATTTTTTAGGTTTTACTTAGGTAGTTTTTGTTCAGATGGTTCAATTGGGAAAATCTATAAGTTTGAAAGATACTTGTTTCACTTACCATTTCCATTTTACTTAACATTCACTGAGTTTTTGTCGCTTGTTGGACATCTAAATGATGCAGTGTTTTGAATATTTTATACAGCTAATTTCTATATTTTTAAATGACGCGTTAACGGATAGATTCTACTATAAAAGTTTTTTAATATATATATTAAGATAATATATATTAAACCCTTGACCATGCACATCGTCCGGGGTTCGATCCCCGATCGACTCACTCCTTTACCTTGCTAAGCTAGAAATAATGCTGGTAAAAAGGAAAGGCTGAGCATGAGGCCAGCAACCCCATCCTGTAAAATAAACACTGCTACAGAAACTTCAAGCCGCTAGCTTGAAACCCTATGTTCCACTGGGGAACGTGAAGGAAAAAAGCTCGGTCTAATCTGTCGAAATTTGCACAAACTTTACAAAGACATTTATGATTGGCAAGTGAAAACAGTCAAATATTAAATTTAGTCAAAACATTTAGAAGTATTTTAGATGAACTTTTAGGTGCATTTGTACTGAGACAATGTATATGATAATAAGTAGAATTCGGAAGTTGACGAGTGTTCGAAGTAACACCAGGACTTCTAATTTTTAATATCCGTGAATACCTGAAAAGTAATTCACTGTCGCCAAAATCTCAGGCGGAGGAGAATACCATTTGCAATGTTTATTATTTCCTCGAGATTCGTCTTTATGCAAATATCATTTAAAATCAGACCATATGTCATCGTATGAGCATACTCAACACGCTAATCACTTTCAGAAGTTAATATTGAAGGAAACGACCATAAGATGATGACTACTCACGTACTTACACTTCTACATTACATCCTTTTTCAAAGATACAGTAGCATGTTTGGATTTACATACACAGTTTTTATTGTATCTATACTGACGTTTTCAAAGGTATGAACTGCAGATAAATCTTCCAGATGTGTTTCTCTACAAATTTCTTTCAACGACAAAGACGAAATTTACTATGAATGGATATCATTGACTCCTAAATGTTTATTAGAGTCAACAATGTAATAATATGCTACCATAGGCTCTTTTCCGCTTATTGTAGCTAAAATTACAGGCAAATGTGTTGAGAATAATGTTCTTACCAGATGGAAAACATCAATACAATTAAGTGAATAGTTAAAGAAGCACATCTCATTACTGTGAAAACTAATTTCAAAATAATGCTTGAGAATGAACTTGTAACTTTAAGCTGTTTATTTCATTCGGTTTGAAGGTTAAATTATCCAAAAGATTTGTTTTCTTGGCCTAATTACAATAATAGTTTGACTGAAATCAACCGGGATTAAAATGTCGTCTACAAAGAGATGTTTATATTGCTTACTTTCAGTATGCATTTAGCACACTGCCACTTATCGAGGGATGTGAATTTACAAAAAGGAAATTAAGTTGACGGTAAATGTCCTAATATATTTAAGAAAAAAAATATTAAAGTTCTTAATCTTGTTTACTTCATTCAAACCTACAAAACAGTTCTAAAGAAATGTGACACTTCTGTTTGTTTTAGAAATTTGAATATTAAATAAACAATAAAGAAATGATCCTCTATAATCATACACATTATATATGCAATGCAAAAACTGGCGCGGGATTATGCTCCTGTCCAGCCCAAGCAAAATACTAAGCCTCATCATCCTGGAGAGAATCAAACACGCCAACCTGGATGGAAAACTTCGACCGGAACAATCTGGATTCAGGAGAAACAAGTTATGTGTTGATAAAATCGCCACCCTACGGATCATCACTGAGCAAAGCTTCGAACGGCAGTCACCTCTCTACCTCACTCAACTTCATCGACTTTGAGAAGGCCTTCGACAGCGTCGATCGAGAGGTGATTTGGCAACTACTTCGCTAATAAGGGGTCCCATCGACAATTATACATCTCATCCAACAGTTGTACGACATTGCTGCATGCCGAGTAATCCACAACGAGAAACTTACAGGAGCCTTCGAAAAGATGGGAGTAAGACAAGGCTTCCCATTATCACCACTGATTTTCCTGATTGCAGTAGATTGGATAATGCGACAGACAGCGGGCAATGAGGAAACAGGCACAAAATGGACCCACACAAAGAACTTGGAGGATCTGGACTTCGCCGACAATATATGTCTGATTCCTCACGAACTAACTGGAAGATATGGAAGTGAAAACAACAAGCTGACAGAAGAAGCATCCAGAGAAGATAGAACTTCAGGTGAACATAGAGAAAACAGAGGTGATGAATATTCCTGGCCAACACCAACAGCAACAACAACAGACAACAATCAGCCAGCATAAATGGGAGGAACCTGAGAGAAACAACCTCCTTTACCTACCTGGGAAGCATCCTTTCAACTACAGGCCGATGGAACTGACGAGGATATCAAAGCCAGAATCGGAAGAGCAAGACAAGCTTTCATTACTCTCAAGTGTGTGTGGAGGTCACAGCACTCACCATCAAAAATAAGACTCAAATTTTCAACTCCAATGTGAAGTCAGACAGTGATAATATACGGATCAGAGACTTGGCACGTCAAGAAGGGCACTTCAAACAAACTACACACCTTCACCAGCAGCTGTCTTCGCTCAGTACTTAAGATCAGATGCTCGGCCAGAAGCGATCAGCAGCAGGGATCTCTGGCAATGAGCGAACCAACCCAGCAGGAACCGATCGTGAAACAAATAGGCAAGAAGAAATGGAGATGGATTGGCCATACTCTGAGGAAACCAACCATCAAGTGACATCACTAGACAAGCCATTGCTCGAGTGGAACCCGAAAGGGAAGCGGGCGGCGAGTTGGTCGTCAATGTGAGGGTGACTTGGAGGAGGTCATGTGAAGAGGATATGAAACCATGTGGGAAGACTTGGAGCAAGGTGAAAACGCTGGCAGAGAACCGAACGCAATGGAGACGCGCAGGTCAACCCATATATTCCTTCAGGATATAAAGGAAACAATATATATATATATATATATATATATATATATATTTGTAATCTAGGTTTTATCTAAATATATGAATCTCTTGTGACAAAGTATTCCCAACTACCGATATAATGTCGCACTTTTAAATGCAAACCAAAATATGAATATTTTGCCCACTTAATTGGTTAAAATTTATTTTTTGTCAGGTGATGATTTCAAACACTTAATACTACATCAAAAATACAACAAAATAGCCGTTATTCTCAGTAACAGAAATAAAGTCGCTTTCAAAATTAAACTTACTTGGTGCGATGCAGTTTAACACGTTTTGAATGACGAGAATTTTTAGCTTACATACATGTTTATAGTAATTGATGATTTTTACTGGTTTTATGCATAGTAATGAAGGAGTTAGAAGAAACCAAAAGAAATAGAAATATTTTTCTATAAAGTACAATTTGTTTGACCTTCAGTGGCTGACGGTATTGACGTTCGCGAATTGTAAGGAGTATACTAATGCAAGATCTTGTACCAACAACTTCTATAGTATTCGTTTCTCGTGGACCAAAGGCAAAGCAAAAGAACGGAATTGGTTGTCTAAATTACGATATATATTTCGGGACCAAATCTTAGACCGATATGATTGCTTAACTGGCTAGTTATCATGCACGGACGTGACACGACGGAGTACCAAACAGTTAGGCTGCTTGACCGGAAGTCTTCAGCTAAACAAGTTGACTTAAACAGGGAGGGTCAGCATCCAATGTTCAGTGATGATTGCTGTGGTCAATAACTTTGGGGAATTATCTACCGCTGCAGACCTTACTGATTTCCATGGGATCTACACTGCAGTCACCTTAGATAAATAAGTATATTTAAACTTTATCGCGGATTCATATATCTTTAACTGCAAAATGTTACACCCAAACATATTCTTCTACAACGAACACTAACGTTCACAATTTGGCTTTCTTATTAATATGCCAATTCAGAGGAAAAAACCTACCTTCTTTGTAGAGTTTTATACATTTGTAAATCGGAAAACATTGCGAAATTCATTTAGAGCTATTATTCACCGATTACTTCTCATCCTTTTCATGAAGCGTTTATAACTTACAAACGATTTTTTCCTTTGATTTTACTAAACAGGACACGACAGAAGTGCAAACGGATAATCACTACACGTCGGAGACAAATTCGAATCCAGGTACATCATACTCTCAGGATACTATTATGACTCTTCCTCGAATATGTGCAATTCATGGAACCCTTGGAACGGCAATGAAACTTTTTGCACTTCCATTGAGTGATTCTTCCTATGTTCGGTGTCCTGAAATACACAGAAATGTTTGTGTCTCCCCACTTAATGATGCTCCTACAATTGACTCAGATGTTGATTCTGGTCAAGGTGGTAGTATTAACAATATTGGAAGTTCACCAAACAGTGATCAACTTGCCCCACAATTTAATATATTATCTAATAAATCAGATACTACCATACTTCCAGTTCACTATGTAACTGGAGACTTAAATTTCAGTTTAGTTCCGGTTAGCATTGCCACAAGTTTAAATTTAACTTCATCTTCATCTTCTAATCCAACAATTTTATTACCCTTATCAGAACTACCAAACACTACATCAGTATCCACTCCAGTTAATTTACAAAAACACTCTAAAGTAACATGTGATAAATTAAGAGTTACATTTGCTGAGACGAATACCGATGAAAAGTCACCAGATCTGACAAGTTCATTAAAAAACAATAAAACTGTTATACATTATCCTTTGACAATTTCCACTGATCCTGATACCAAAGAAAAAGGTCCTTGGCGCCTTGTTCAGTGTGCATCTAAAAATGTTAGATTATAGTTTGGAATGTAATGAATGTTTACTATCCCCAGATCTTGGAAATCAGTTGTTCTTACAAATATGCAAATAAATTTTTAAACATGATTTAGAAATCTCTTAACACAGTTTACTTCTAAAGGACGTTATTTTTCACATTTTGAACAAATAAAAAAGCATCTAACAGTCAAAGATGTGAAACTAAAGAATTACTAGTTTTTAACCAACACTATGATGCCCAAACGTAAAAGCTAAGAGAATTTATCCTATCTGATAGGCGTCGCAGTATTCTGAGACTTTCAAGTTTAAAATAGTTACTAGTAAATATATTTTGGTGACGGAAATAAAAAAAACTGATAATTTAGAGGTGAGAGAGGACATGGTGATCATTCGTAGCCATCTGGCACTAATTCTCATAAGATAATTCCGTAAGAAGTATAAAGAGCACGCATAAACAAGTCACTGAACTATTTTTCTGAGTACATTTGAATATACGCTGATGTCGCCAAAGGCTTTGATAGTGTGTTAATCAAGTAGAGATCAGAAAGGACGGATTGGTGTACTTTACTTTGAATGAAAATATGACGTAAGCTTTTGTGGGTACTTCTATGCAATGAAAACTGTTGATTGCTGAAAAAACTTTTTTAACAGTTCACCTTCACAAGGAAAAAGCTGGTGTCATGTCTTCTTTAGCCTAGTGTATATTTTATTTTGCTTAGGAATACATGTATATCCAGTAGTTTTGTTGAGGAATCAAAAACTGTTAATCACTAACAAGTTGACCGCATGCTTATTCATTGACTTCAGGTTATATTATGAGTCTTGGCAAAAACAGAGACAGACAACGACTAAGTAGCCAATCATAACACACAAAAACTGTCATTCACTTTCGGAACTCGTTAACGAATTCAATTAATTCTGTTGCGAAAGCAACGTGTTCGCGTAACTTAAATATTCAGCATATTCTTTTTTTTACCATGACAGTTGTTAGACTGAAAATCCGCCGAAAGCATTAGTCAAAATCTTTTGGGTTTTTTCACAAAGTCCATAAATAAATAATCAAGTACAGGGCTAATAAGTTTTTAAGGAAAAATAATGATTTGGTCAAAGAACTAGACAATTGAAATAACAGTTTATATTATTAATAAAATCCAATACCATTACAAAAAGCTCATATATTTTACTCCCATCACACAGACTACATTAACGTGCATACTTCACGTTGAGGTTACATCTATTCGGTGATTATATTTTTGTCTAAACAAATCTGTAGTATGAAGAATACTATGCATCAGAAGTTTTAAAATCCAAAAAAATCTATTATATTATTATCATTGTTCCCTTGGGTTCCTAGTGGAACATAGGGCTTCAACTGCACGTCTCCACTTGCTTCTGTCTTGCTTCTGCTGTACTTTTCACCTGCATCCATGTTAGTCCATACTCTTTCAACTCCTCCTCTTCACAAGATCTCCTCCATCTCACTCTTGCACCGACGTCCCACTCGCCGCTTCCCTTCCGGCCTGGTTCCACTCGAGCAATGGCCTGACGCGCGCGCGATGTCACCCAGTCGCCTCCTCAGCGAGCGAGTGTCCAATCCATCTCCACCTTCTCCTGCATATTTGTTGGTTGGCGATTGGTTCTTGCTTTGTTTGTTCCCAGCCATAGTTTTTTGTTGGTGATTCTTTCCGACCCGGCCGGCCATCTGATCTTCAGTGTAGAGCGAAGACAGTTGTTGATAAAGGTAACGTCTGCAACAGGTTGTTGGAAACATTCTTTGTGACCCACCAGCCAAGTTTCTGATCCGTATAGAAGAACTGACTGACTTGACGTTTGTATTGAAAATCCGACCGAATTTTGTTGTTGATGCTGGCTGAGTGACGAAGATTTCCAGATTGGTTTCAGGTTGATGAATGTGTTTCTCGCCTACCCGATTCTCTCTCCATTTAACATCCTCGTCCGTTCCTCCTGTAGTTGAGACAATGCTCAATGCTAGATAAGTGAATGAAGTGACCTCATTCAAATCCCTCCCGTTGATGGTGGTTGACGCTGGATGTTGCTGTAGTTGTTGTTGTTTTGGTTGGTTATTTTCATAACCTCCGTCTTGTCTATGTTCACATGGAGTCCTGTCTTCGCCAGCTGCTTCTTCAACCAGTTTGTCGGTTTTCGCTTGTAAGTCTTCGATTGTGTGTGACATCAAACATAAATCATCCACGCGCGAAATCTAGGTCTTCTAGGTTCTTCATCTCGTCTAGTTTACTAGCTCGCTGGTTTTCTAGCCGGTCCTAAGTCCGAATAAAGAGGGAGGATTGGGGCGTGATCCTAGCAACCCCACCTCCAAAACTTGACCGAATCTCTGCAGTAACTTCAACGCACAAATATATTAAAAATCCTTTAATGTCTCTACTATATATAATTAGGTACACTGTGATAAGTAAACTTTAGAACATTGTACCGAGTTCATACGTATTATTATCATACTAGAAAAGTGTCTAGTACGATGAATAAGACAGAAACCAAAATATGCAGTTCACCACAAGAATTAAGAACAAAACTGCGAAACTTATATAAGAGTAGAACTTGTTTGTTGTGATATTTTTTATTTTCATTTTTTTATTTTATTTTTTTTTATTTACAGCTTGATTCCACACTGTATTTTCAGTACAAGTATGGAATTTTCAGCATGGATATCGGTAGACCAAATTTTGCAGGCCGACCATAGATATCAGGTGTGCGTCGGTGCGGGCTCGAACCCCGGACCATGTGAATGGTCGGCGAGAGTCCTAACCAGTGTGCCACCGACGCACATGGAACGTACAGTGTAACTCCGTCAGACAATAATTTTAGATGATAAAAGTATACAATGATACAGTATTATTTACTAATGACCTTTTAAACGCAATTTATTCCTCATAGTCACATCAAGTTTTCGTAATGGTATAATACTTAGACGTTAGCTTTAGAAATTATTTTATCATATTTGAGTAAATTAGAATTTCAAAAAAAACGTCATTTGTTTACCCATTCCAATAAGCCAGTTCAACCGTCCCATTATTATAAACCTTTTCTGGTGGATAATCATAATAGTAATGGTAACAGCTTTATTCTGAACAACGTTTCCGTAATGTGCAGAATTCTTAGCGGAAGTTATCGCATGATATTTTCTCTTCGTCCGTGACCTTTAAATACAACAATAATCTACAGTTGGTCGTGTGACACAGTTCTGTGTGACCTGAAGCGCAAACTAATTACGTATTACAACTTTTCTTTTTCTCCTTCGAGAAATACACGACATTTTGTTGAATGCCAACTACAAAACGTTCAGGAGTATATTTTGTGTACCAAGGACACAACGCAGAAACGGTCATCTCATGCATGGGGATTAGCAGGCATCGAGTATAATGCTTTTTCCCATGTTCAGTAGAAACTTGAGAATCAGCAGGTTGTAAGTGTTTTAAATACTAGCCAGAATAAAAATACTATTAGAGGTCATATTTTACTAGATTTAAACAGATTGAATAAGAGAAACTATATGCAGTATATTGTTGGAGGTTTTCGATAGTCCAAGTTTTAAGCAGGCCGCTGACACCAGTTTGCAGTTATCCCTAATTAAACTTTGACTTTCATTAATGTTGTATGAATAAATAGCGTAAACTACTAATTAGACATACTCCACAATGAGGTCTAATATACTAATTATAATAACAATATCAAATTCAAAAGAAACCTTTGATAACTCTGTTTCCACAAAATCTAAAACTCATATAATCATAAAAAAGAAGCATCAAAGATAAGATTTCAGGTGAACATAGAGAAAACAGAGGTGATGAATATTCCTGGCCAACACCAACAGCAACAACAACAGACAACAATCAGCCAGCATAAATGGGAGGAACCTGAGAGAAACAACCTCCTTTACCTACCTGGGAAGCATCCTTTCAACTACAGGCCGATGGAACTGACGAGGATATCAAAGCCAGAATCGGAAGAGCAAGACAAGCTTTCATTACTCTCAAGTCTGTGTGTAGGTCAACACCACTCACCATCAAAAATAAGATCTAGATTTTCAACTTCAATGTGGAGTTAGTGCTACTCACTATATGGATCAGAGACTTGGTGCGTTATAAAGAGCATCTCAGACAAACTACAGACCTTCATTACCAGTTGTCTTCGCTCAATACTCAAGATCAGATGGCCGGTCAGAAACGATCAGCAACAGGGTGGGATCTTTGGTAATGAGCGAACCAACACAGCAGGAACCGATTGTGCAGCAGATAGACAGGAAGAAATGGAGATGGATTGGCCATACTCTGAGGAAACCGTCAAGTGACATCACTAAACAAGCCATTGCTCGAGTGGAACCCGAAAGGGAAGCGGGCGGCGAGTTGGTCGTCAATGTGAGGGTGACTTGGAAGAGGTCATGTGAAGAGGAGATGAAAGCGTGTGGGCAGACTTGGAGTGGGGTGAAAACGTTGGCAGAGAACCGAACGCAATGGAGACGCGCGGCTGAAACCCTATGTTCCTCTAGGAAATAAAGGAAATAATAATAATAAAAACAAATGAAGAACATTAGTCTACATGTATACAAATCAGACTTTGAGCTATTCCCAATCAAACATCTAAACAATTAAGTACTACATCATATGCAACTTGCAGAGAATGTTAGATAATAACTTTATTAAGCCAATGATCACACTGAGTCCCAACCAACCGACATATAAACTGGGTTCATTTCTTTCAATGGCACCTTAGAATATCAGTGAAACATGTCTTATTTTTCCGAATGTTTACAATTAATTACTGGAAGAACAAACGATAGTTAATAAAATATGCACTTAGAAGGATTCTTTGAATGAATCAGGACTATTGTCTCATTCATATCCCAAATGGTATTTTACTGGGCAGATATTACGGGAGAATCATAAGAAAAAGATTTCGTGATATCAGAAGTACAGTGACGAACGCAACTGTGTATGACAGGCTCCATAGAAAAAATACTTCACTATATTTCACCATTACGTATAAATATATATTACCAGACGAAAACTAAAAAATTCATAATCTAACTAAACGACAAGTAAGCTTAAGATTATATATATATATATATATAAGTTGAAGTCAGTATCCACTAACCGTCTGCTAACTCCAGTGGCTATTTTTCCCATCATTAGCTAAACG